CACAGCTGGTGAGTGCAGTGGCATGGGCGGGAACCTCTCCCTCCACCGCTGCAAGCGGATGGTAAAGAGTGAGGGGTCCTGGACTGTGAGAGGGATATCTGCCACTCCCAAGGGATCCTGTACTGCAAGAGGACGTAGTACCCCACCCCCTCAAGTGCATGAATTTCATGCACTGGGCCTCTAGTCTATATATACACTGAGTGGCCAGATTATTATGGCCACCCTTCGTTGGTCCACTTTTGCCTTCAATACTGTGGTGATTCTTCTTGACATTGACTCCACAAGGTGTTGAAAGGTGATGCGACTGTTTTGATACTTATTTTTAAACTACTGGTAGGGGCCCAATGCACGAAACTCCTGCAAAAGTAGGTCTCCCTTCCCCTGTCTGCCAGCACTGGCTTCCCTCTAGCACCTGGGACCTGGGCTTCCCTCTGGCCACCTTCAGGCACCCAGCACCCAGGCTTCCCTCACAGCCCCAGCTTCGTCCAGAAGGACATCTGGAAGGATCAATTCTATCTAATAAAAGAGTAATATGCAAATTGACCATCAGTCAAACACACAAGACGGCTGCCCCCAAGTGCTCAAAGATGGCTACCCCCACATGAACACAAGATGGCCACCACAAGATGGCTGACAGGGGAGGCAGTTGGGGGCGGCCAGACCTTCAGGGAAGGGCATTTGAAGGTGATCAGGCTGGCAGGCAAAAGCAGTTAGGGGCAATCAGGAAGGCAGGCAGGTGAGCGGTTGGTAGCCAGCAGTCCTGGATTGTGAGAGGGCTGTCGAACATCACTCGAGGGGTCCCAGATTGGAGAGTGTGCAGGCTGGGCTGAAGGACGCACCCTCCCCTGTGCACGAATTTCATGCACTGGACCTCTAGTATGCTAATGATCCTCTATGCCAGTCTAATTAGCATGTTGCACTTATTACTATTATTATTTTCTTTGCACTTATTATTATAAACTCCTGGCCTGGTGCACAAAATTCATACACTGGGAGGGGGTGTCCCCTCAGCCCAGCCTGCCCCCTCTCTCAGACTAGGAGCACTCAGGGGATGTCCTACTGTCAGGGAAGGCGACCAGGCTGATCAGGGGAAGGTGCAAGCCCCATCACCCCACTGCTGCAGTCACTGCCAGCCACCGCAGCCCCCAAGGTGTTTTCATCAACACAGACTCCAGTCCCTTTACCATGAAAAATGACAACGTTCTTTAGGGATTTTCAAGATGTGTCTTTCATAGAATGTGACATACTTTCCTGACATGTGCCTCCTGGTGGTCAGCAAACATCATAACGATTGGTTATTTGCTTGTTCTGCTGTTTGGTCTATTTTCATATTGGGATTTTATATATATACACCAGAGGCCCGATGCATAAAGATTCATGCAAGAATGGGCCTTCCTTCCACTGGCTGCCTGCACCGCCTTTGCTCTGGTTGGAGCATCCTTACCACTCCTGCCCGGAGCTGCCTTTCTGCCTTCCCACACTGCCCAGAGGCCCGGAACGGTTAGGGTGGTGTGGAATGCCTGCATCGTCGCCATGGTGATGATGCAAGTGTCCCACCTCGCCCCTGCCACTTGGCGCCTGCATATGCAAATTAACTCACCAGCCTTGTTGGGTTAATTTGCATATTCACTCCTGATTGGCTGGTGAGCGTCAGGAAGGTATGGTCAATTAGCATGTTACTCTTTTATTAAGTAGATGATTGATTTCAGAGAAGAACATTAGAGGGAGAGATAGAAACATCAATGATGAGAGAGGATCATTGATCTGCTGCCTCCTGTACACTCCTTACTGGAGATTGAGCCTACAACTGGGGCATGTGCCCTGAATTGGAATTGAACCATGGCTTCCTGGTTTATAAATAAACTCATAGATAGACTCTCAGCCACTGAGCCACAGTGGACAGCCTTTTAATGTAGTCTTCATTTCAGTTATTATAATCTTCATTTCTGACTTTTTTTTTTTTTAATGTTTTTTATGTCTATTTTTGTGTTTCCTGTTGTTTTTTCGTGTGTGTGTGTGTGTGTGTGTGTGTGTGTGTGTGTATGTTATTTCAGAGAGAAAGAGAGGAGAAAGAGATAGAAACATCAATAATGAGAGAGAATCATTGATTGGCTGCCTTTTGCACACCCCCCACTGGGGATTGAGCCCACAACCCAGGCATGTGCCTTGACTAGGAATCGAACTGTGATCCTCTGGTTCATAGGTCTATGCTCATCCATTGAGCCAGTAGTTTGAACTCTGCATCTGGTAGATTGCTTGTCTCTACTTTGTTCTGTTCTTTTATTTAGGAAATGTGTCTTTTGTCTCATTTTGGCTGCCTTCCTGTATTTTTTTCTACATATTAGATATAACTGCCACAGTGTAGTATGTATCCTGTGATATCCAGTTGCACAATCTTCCTATTACCTGAGCCTGGTGCTCTAGATATATCCCTTTGTGTAAGTTATGTGTGCCTTCCTGTTGTAGTTGAGACTTGATTGCTGGTGATATTTCAGTGAAAGGGATTGACCCTCAGGCTGATTGGTTGTGAGGATTTGCCATGACTTCCAGAGAGAGGTTGTTGTTGTGGGGGGTTGACCCTTTGGAGCAGTGTTTGCTTTTGCTTTAACTAGGCTCTGGTAGCTGCTGATTCTGCCTTTGGAGTATCGTTTGTGGAGGTGATTGGGTGGTGGTGTCTGAAGCTGGCTACTCGGTTTCTTTGTTCTGGGGCCTCTTAGGACGTGTAGGCCAAGGCTAGCTGCAGCTTATACCCTGCGTGGGCCCACCTGATCCAGTAAAAGCTACAAAATGATCTGCAGATGGTTGCTACTTTTTCTGGGCTTAGAGGTGCTTAGGAGAGGCTGTAAATTGTAAAGCCTCTTAGGAGAGGCTGTAAGCTGTAAATTGAGGCTTGCTGCCACTAGTTTCTGAGTTGGGGCTGCCTAAATAAGAAGTTTGGTGCACACAGGGGCCCGATGCTGCTTATTTTTTTGAACTTCTGAGATTTTTTATCCACAGCATGAGCTCTTGGTATGGAAAAGCCACTAGAAGTGATTTGGGCTGTGCCTACAAGTTGGGTGGGGTAGGTCCTTTGGGAATGGGGATGGGAGAACGATTTTAGCCAGGTTAATGGAGACTCAGATATGATTCTTATCTGTGCATGCAAGGGAAGGGTTCAGCAGAGGAACAGTGGCTTCTGCCAGCACTTCTGTCTGGGAGGAAGCTGCCCCTACAGCCCTCATCATGAAGCTGGTCAATTTAGTTCCTCCCCTTTATCTCTGGCATCTTTCACGCTGCTGTCCCAGTACTGCAGGTTAGAGTGAGTGAGTCTGTGAGCAGGTTCTTTAAGAGGAACTGAGACTCTAGCAGCTCTCCATCTCACTCAGCCACAATCCCTGTGGATCTTTGCTCAAATATAGTTTCATTTATCCCTGATACTTATTCTTTATGCTAATTTTCATATGCTACATTTACATATTCTTTAGACCCTATATACAATGTTATGAATTTTCCTTTAGTTATATGTATTTTGAAAATACATATAGTGAGTAGATAGCATCAGCAGAAATCTATTCTATTCTTTTAGCATGAACTGGTCTGCTCAGAATCCTCCCCACATGTACATATTTCAGAGGTTTCCACAGAGTGAATATGCAGAATATAAGGCTCTCCTTCCATACTTCCTTTCTGGGATTTCTCCCCTTTACTTTTTAGATTTCTATTGTCCAATAGAATTTTTTGTGGTGGTGGAAATGTTTCACAATGGTAGCCACTTGTCACATGAAGCTGTTGAGGACTTGAAGTGTGGGTGATGCACCTGAAAATGGGATTTTTAATTTTAATTAGTCTCCATTTAAACATGAATACTCACATATGTCAAGTGATACTGTGTTGGATATACTATTATTGCAAAAAGTTCTATTGAACAGCACTGTTCTAGATACTATGGTTATCTTGAACTCTGTCCTTATTTTTCTGAGCTAATAAGACAATAGGTTTTTATCTAGATATGAACTGACCTGCATAGTCAGAATAAAGCCTTCCCTCAGTTTAAAAAGTATAGAAAGTAGGAAACTCAAAGCAGTACTTTGTTTTCCCTCATGTGAACTCCCTTCCAATTCATGCCAGATTATTTTTTTAAAGATTTTTAAAATTGATTTTTAGAAAGAGAGGAAGGGACAGGGACAGAGTGAGAGGGAGGAAAAAGAGGGAGGGAGGGAAACAGAGACATCGATGTGAGAGTAGAACATCAATTGGCTACCTCCTACACGTTGCACGTCCCCTACTAGGGATCGGGCCTGCAACATGGGCATGTACCCTACTAGGAGTGGTTAGAGGCGATCAGCCAGGCAGGCAGGTGAGTGGTTAGGAGCCAGTGGTCCTGGATTGCAAGAGGGATGTCTGATTGCTGTCGGACATCCCCTGAGGGGTTCCAAATTGGAGAAGGTGCAGGCCTGCCTGATTGCCCCTAACCACTCTGCCTGCCGGCCTGATTGCCCCCAACTGTCCCCTCTCCCCCATTGACCTGATTTCCCACAACTACTCCCCTAGCCTGATCGCCTCCAACTGCCCATCCCTACCAGCCTGATTGCTCCTAACCGCCTCTGCCTTGGCCTCACCACCATGGTTTTGTCTGGAAGGACGTCCAGAGGTCTCCTGGAAGATCTCTCAGTCTAATTAGCATATTTCCTTTTTATTATAGTATAGATATGCATCCAATAATAATTGCTTCACCATTTACCAGAAGTTGAACTCCACCTCTTAACTTTTAAATCATTTTAGTAGTGATTTAATTTTAAGGTATTAATTTTTGTGTGTTTTGTTATAAGACTCTACTTACCAACCACTTATTATCCATGCCCTTTAACCTTCCTAAAAGTATTATGTACCTTTAAGGTTACTGAATCTTAATATTCTAAATTTGATATTTCTATCTCAGATATGCTAGAATTTAATGGAATTCTTCAAAGCGGTAAACACATATCATTGATAACCTGTTTGGTATACTTTGCCTTTTCTAGATACCTAAAAAGGTTTAAAGTGATGAAGATCAAAGTCCTACGAAGCTGGTGCCGGCAGATCCTTAAAGGACTTCAGTTTCTTCATACTCGAACTCCACCTATTATTCACCGAGATCTTAAGTGTGACAACATCTTTATCACTGGCCCTACGGGCTCCGTCAAGATTGGAGACTTAGGTCTGGCAACCCTGAAGCGGGCTTCTTTTGCCAAGAGTGTGATAGGTATGTTTCAAGTATAACTGGCTTTCTGACATACCTTTTATTTAGAAGCCCGACCCTGTCAGAGCTTTTATTATGTAACATAAACCTTCAAAAATTCATAACATGAATTTAGGAAGTGATCAGTTCTACTTAATGGGATGTGTAACTCTCTATATTTACACTTCTAAAATCATCTTCTATCAATGTTTTTATAAATTATAAACAAGTAAGGTGAACTCTTTTAATAAAACCTATGTTAGCTGTCAGTCTTATTGGGTCATTCTGTTGATATATTTAATACTAGGTACTTATTTCCTTATTAGATAATAGTGAGTTATTTCCCATGTGAAGGAACTAATTTATATATATTTTTAGTTACTAAAATAATCTTTTGGATTTATATGTATATTGAAAAATATCAGCCTATTAAAAGTTTATTTTAAAGTGTGAAAATATGAGTTCATTCTGAAAGTTTGGTTTTATCAACTTTTTTCCTTATTTCTCCTCTTCACAAGATATGATATATCTAAAACAGGACTTTTCAACTTAAATACTATTGAAATTTTGGGTTAGACAATTCTTTGTTATAAAGATTGTCTTGTACATTGTAAGATTATTTAGCAGCATCCCTGGCCTCTACTCACTAATTGCCAGTAGCACACTCCTTTTTCTCTCCCTGGTTGTTATAACCAAAAATGTCTCTGGAAATCGCTAAATGTTAATCTTACAGCTACCATACAGTAGGGGGCAGACAAGTATTTTGATCTTTCTTAATCCATCATCCTGTCTTTCAAGTAAATGTCATTATGTTTATTCCTTTCGAGTTTCTTACCTTTTCCTTTTATTTGTTTTCAATGTATCAGTTATCTTTTATTTTAAGGCTCTGCTTGGTACAGCAGTAATTAATTTGAAATAGTAAATAAGGACACTTGACCCTGTTCTAGTTTCTTTTATAAAGGCCTTTTAGTGAAAGATCTATAATGTATTTGATGAAACAGACTAAGATTTTGTTCCTCTTTCTCCCTTCCTTCCATCTTCCATTTTGTTCTCTTTCTCAGGTCAACTCCTGCTTCTTCCCTGAGTGAGTAACATCTATAGCTCTACTTGCATTGAGTCTGAATCATTCTTTTAATTTAAAGGTACCCCAGAATTCATGGCCCCTGAGATGTATGAAGAGAAATATGATGAATCCGTTGATGTTTATGCCTTTGGGATGTGCATGCTTGAGATGGCCACATCTGAATACCCTTACTCAGAGTGCCAGAATGCTGCGCAGATATACCGTCGTGTGACCAGTGTAAGTCTTCCTCTCACTGACTGATGAACTTAGGTCACATTAAGAAAGAATCCCAAGCTGGAGAACATCAAATAATGCAGAAGGGAGCAATAGTGAAGGCATACTGAGATGTTGGAAGAAGAGGGAGTTAAGGTATTTATTGCTCATGATACGGTGAGAGCAAACCTAGAGAAGCACCAGTTTATTCTGGATCCTCCTTGCATTCATTTAAATGTTTATTATGAGATGTAAGTTCTCATTTTCTCCCACTATACAGCTTATTTGAGTTATGCTCTTAAATTAAGCTGGTTTATTCACAGACTTTTTTTCTGAATGGCTTAAAATTGATATACTAATTTGTTAAATCATTTATTAATACCCACAGTGTTTAGGGTATAAATTTAAACTATATTCTACTTTACACATGGTAATTAATCTCTGCCAAAAGAGGTATTTTCTAGAGTTTCCAATGGAAACGTGTAGCATAGTTGTTAGGTCCATAATATAAAGCACTGAAAGTTTACTATAATGGAAGCTTTCCACAAAAGGCATAACAGGTAAGCAAAGTAATTTTATTGACTATTTTTATAACTTTTTATTTTATGAAAAAGTTTAAACATATACAAAAATAAAATACATTGAATTCCCATTTATTCAATGCAACCTGAATATTGGGGCCATTTTTGCTACACTTGCTTCATCTGTTTTTTCTCTATTTCATTATTTCATTTTACCACTATGTACTTCATTATGCCTCTAAAAATTAAAGATTTTTATATTATATAACCATATCATACCTAAAAAGTATAATAGTAAATTTCTTGATCATTTAATACCCTGACCTATTAAGATATTTCCCCTATTGTTTCAGAGATGTCTGTTTACAGTCAGTGTTCAAAATAGGGTCTATCAAGGTCCACAGAATACATTTTGTTGTCATGTGTCTTTATCTAGAACTATTGCCCTTGCTTTCTTTTTCTGAGTTTTATTGATTTGTTGAAAGAATTAAATGAATTGTTTTGGGAAATGTTTCACATTCTGGATTTGTCTATTTGCTTCCTTATGATGTCATTTAACTTGTTATTCTATCTTCTATATTTCTGTAAACAGAAATTTACCTTTAAGTTGTAGACAGGTGTCGGTGATATAAAAATAATTTGCCTCTTTAACTCATTTATACAAAAGTGTACAGAGTTATTTTCTGGAGGCTAAATAATATATGATATTACAGCAGATTAAATACAGAAACAGATATGACAATCCATTGGTCTTTCTTTAAGCCATATTCTCAGTAAATTTTTCTTTTGTAGTGGGAAAAATATTGGATTTTTTTTTTTTTAATATATTGATTTTGTACAGAGAGGAAGGGAGAGAGATACAGAGTTAGAAACATCGATGAGAGAGAGTCATCGATCAGCTGCCTCTTGCACACCCCCTACTGGGGATATGCCCACAACCAAGGTACATGCCCTTGACCGGAATCGAACCCGGGACCTTTCAGTCCCCAAGCCGACGCTCTATCCATTGAGCGAAACCGGTTTTGGCTGGATTTTTTTATTTTAAATGTTATATATTATTAACATTTAATTAGTTTATTATAAGTCTTTTATAATAAATTGTTGGTTTTTGTTGTTAATCCTCACAGAGGATATTTTTCCATTGATTTTTAGGGAGAGTGGAAGACAGAGAGAAACATCAGTGTGAGAGAAATGCATTGATTGGTTGTCTCTTGCACAAGGCTTAGGTTGGGGAGGGGCCTGCAACCAAGGTATGTGCCCTTGACTGGAATTGAACCTGGAACCCTTTGGTCTGCAGGCCAAAGCTCTACCCACTGATCCAAACCGGCTAGGGCTATTATAATTTTTAATGAATTAATATTTTAAAACTTTCCCAGTTTTAATTTATAACACAGTAAATAACAATACTATAATACATAAGCAAAAGTCTTTCTGGTCCTCAGTCATTTTTAAAAGTGTATGGAGGACCCCAAGAGAAACAAATTTGAGACCACTAGTTCCAAATGCTTGATTAAATTTAGGTGATTAAATTTAGGTTCATTCTGGCCAGTATGGCTCAGTTGGTTGACTGTCATCCTGTGTACTGCAGAGTCTCAGGTTTGATTTCTGGTCAGGGCACATAAAAAAATTAGGTTTAAAAAATTTTGCACGAATAAATATGTGGTTCTGTGTATTTTATATTGCACTAGAGGCCCAGTGCATGGATTCATGTACCAGGGGGAGGGGAAGTCCCTTGGCCTGGCCTGTGTGGATCAGGCAGAGGCTGGCTCTCTGACATCCCTCGAGGGGTCCCGGATTGCAAGAGGGTGCAGGCCAAGCTCAGACACCTCAGGCCACTAGTATGCGTGTAAGATCTTTGGTTAACCTCTTCTTGCTCTTCCCCCTCCCCGCTTCCACTGACATTCATTAGTCTGTTCCATGTTTCCATGCCTATGATTTCTGCTCCTGTGTTGAGCGTCTGCCCCTTGGTGGTTAATGCATGACATAGATACCAGTCTGCCTGTATATTACTAGAGGTCTGTTGCACTTCATGCTCAGGGTGGGAGGTCCCTCAGCCCAACCTGCCCCCTCTGCAATCTAAGACTTCAAGGGATGTCCAACTGCCTCTCACAATTGGGGACTGCTGGCTCCTAACCATTCACCTGCCTGCCTGCTTGATCGCCCCTAACCACTTCTGCCTGCCTGTCTGATTGCTCCTAATTGCTCTCCTACCGGTCTGATTGTTCCTAACCTCTGCCTTGCCCCGCACTCAAGACCCAGGATTCCGTACTCTGACTGCTTGCAGGCACCCAGGATGCGGCTTTCCCTACCTCTTGCTGGCCACAGGCACCCAAGACCCAAGTCGCCTTCTCCTGGGCTGGCTGCCCCCACAGAGGACCAAGGGCTGGCAGCTTTGCCCAGGCCTCAGCCACAGGCACTGGTGCCTGGGACCATGGGGTGAGCTGCTTGTTCATCTCCTGGGCTGTAGACGCAGGCACTGGCACCCAGGACCATGGAGCAGGCAACTTGTCCCTCTCCCAGGCTGCAGGCTGGCTGGTCCCCATTTCTCTCTTGCGAGCTCATTTGTGTCTGGCTGGTACCCAGTCCTCTTTCCCAGTGTTGAGTGTCTGAGCCATTATGGTGTGAGGGTATAACAACCATTTGCATATTAGCTCTTTATTATATAGAAGGATTAAGAAGCACATAGTATCTAGTTAACTCATTTTTAGTGATGCATTTTCATTGAACTTTTATGTATTAGAAAATGTGATTATAAATTGTTTATTTAGATTTTGATAGCTGATTTGAATGGTAATTTAGTATACTTCTAAAAAACTTAATGGCATAGTGGTTGAGCATTCACCTATGAATCAGGAGATCAGTTTTATTTCTGATCAGGGTACATGCCCAGGTTGTGGGGTTGATTCCCAGTGGTAGGGGTGGGCAGGAGGTGGCCAATTGATGATTCTCTCTCATTATTGATGTTTCTATCTCTCCCTATCCCTTGCTCTTTAAAATTAATAAAAATACATTTTTTTTAAAAAAAACAAATATTTTTATTAGGGAAACCAAATTAGTTTCATGTCTTCACAAATAAAGTTTTTGGACATATCGTTGATTACTTCATTAATTATAATTGCTGTGAATATTCCTTTTTTTTTTTTTTTTTTTAGTTTGTAAGTGATTCTATTATGTGATAGGTATGTGACTACTTTGGACAGTTATTTTATTCAGCATGAATGGTAAGAACTATTAGGGTCTTTATATCCAATAAAAATAACAGATATTGTTTGTATTGAAAAGAGCATTACTCTCAAGTTATCCTCAGCTTTGTAACTTTTGTGGTATTTTATCAATTACTAGAGGCCTGCACAAAATTTTGCACTTGACGGGGAGGGGCCCTTCAGCCTGGACTGTGCCCTCTTGCAGTGTGGAAGCCCTGTGGAGATGTCCGATTGGAGGCTTAGTGGGCCTAAGTTGTTAGTCAGACACCCTTAGCATTGCCACAGAGGCGGGAGAGGCTCCCACCACTGCCGTTGTGTTCGCCAGCTGTGAGCCTGGCTTCTGGCCGAGCAGGGATCACACTGACCACCAGGGGGCAGCTTCTGCATTGAATGTCTGCTCCCTGGTGGTCAGCTTGCATAGTGACCAATCATTGTACCATTTGGTCATTTGCATATTAGCTTTTTATTATGTAGGATATGCTGTAGATGAGGCCCCCTAGAACCATAAGAAATCCAAAAAAATCACTTAAGTCATTCTTGAAATGCCCTCTCCGCCCCGTGGGGCATGTGTTGCACCTTGGGAACCATTGAGTTTGACACTCTTCCTCTCTGAGCTTAATTTCTGAATATATACACATATATTAATACCTTGGGAACTATAACCTCTTCTCTGCCTACATCACTGGGTTGTCATGAGGAGGTTCTGAGCTAATAAACCTAGAAATGTTTCATCAAGTAAATGATGTCTACATGGAAAGGGATTGTTATTTTTAAACCCACATGCACCCTCTCAAGTAGCAGGTGCTGATTAGGGGAGGAAGGCATTGTTTCCTGGGACTGTAGTTATGGAAGCTTTGCAGAGGGTTCTACAGGCCTCAGAGGGGCAGGCTCTGGCCAGCAGCCCTGCAGTGGTGGTCATCCCTGGAGGCACTGGCAGGGGATGGGCACTAGGGGTGCGGTGAGGCTGAAGGGGGGAGTAACTGTCAAATCTCCCCACTTGCGCCATTCTTTAAATTGTACATGGCTGTTTTGCAGTTGTACTTGTTCAGGGTGGGGCTCCAATTTCCTGGAGCGGGGTGGGGGCTGGGCCAGTGTGGGGGCAGCATGGAGCCAGGTGGGCTAGAAGGGCAGGTTTAGTTGTGCCCTCAGCGAGATTCAGCATGCTTCTTCTGCGGAAAGGGTGATGCTGCTGTGGCAGGGGAGGGTCTGACCCTGGGGGGTGGCACTCAGGCCTGCCTCCACCCGGGTTTGGAGTTGTAGGGAGGAGAGATGTGCCTGGCCCCAGCAGACCCTGGGTGCC